GTCACAACGTAAATGCTTTTTTGCTTTTGCATGCTTACTAATTAGTTCATAATTATGCGCTAACACTTTCCTTCCCTGTCCACATCTTTACGATGTCTATGTATCCCTCTTTACATAAGTATGACACTTCTTCATTATACACTCACTCCCCCCGTGACAATTTACTCTATCAGACATAGTACACATTTTTCTTCGCTACCCATTGGTAATTTAACGACACATCTCTTCAGTATTATATTTGAAAGCAAACATTTTTTTCAAATTAATATGCTATTAGTCAGTTTTCGCTTTTGAATGCATGTATTCTTCCTCATTTGTTTTGCATACCAGTGTTACCTCCAGATATTCTGGGGGGAGATATGTGAGGATAGTTAAACTAGACTTATTTCGTAATTAGTTTTTGCTATTATCTGCACTTTTCATTAATTCTCATAATTTGCTCAATTACCAGTGTCGCCTGTGAAATTGTCGTTAAGGAAGCATGAGCTTTGACCTCCCATTCCGGTTTGTGAACATACATAACATGACCCACTGATTATCGATCAAAAATACACTGCTGCACGCAGTGTAATACTCCCTACAAAGTAGTATCAAAATTATGACCAGGAGAACTAAATTAATCTACAAATATTTCCAGCCGTCACCCGGATAACAATGGTCAGTTGCTGCAGAGTCCAACCTTGAGTCCAGTCAATCGAGACTTGGTCGTCAACAGGCCAATACAATACAAATACTAAAAGAACATTAAAACAAACTTTAACTAACCGGCGAGGTAGTCCGCCTGACTTTCAGGTACCTTTCAAGTGAAAGCTTAATAAATTCTTAAAGACTCATGAGAAAATCTCACTACAAATTACCAATATTCCCTTTTTTATTGTCAAATATGTATAGGTTTCATTCTAGAGGCATTGGTGATCTACTGCTGCTAGATATGAGCTCCTGTTTAGCGAACGCCTCTCAGAACCACTTGGATCACTTGGAAGCATAGATTTAATTGTTTTATATAACTTAGGAAGACTGGGACTACAAATAAAAAGATAAGGCGATATAAACTTGAGCAAACAGTTGATGAGACCTGAGATATCTATTCGTGAGAAATGCAAAATTTACACTCGTATATCAACTGCTACTCATTTCAGAGACACCAGGATACGCTTCCATGACCTGAATCTGTAGCTTTACGCCCTACGTCATAGTTATTCTTTCCGTATTGTCTCTGAGAGGTTTCGAAATCTGTCCTTGTGATGGGCAATAACTCCGACATAACCTGGATGATACGTGATTTCCTGTCTACAGACATAACCATCCGTGTTAATCGTTACTCTCAGGACTTTAAGCCTGTTTCTACGGACTACATTGTAGTGAACTCTTACTTGCACTTGCTGTCGCTACACAGCACATGAGAGCTTTCATTTTCTGCAACTCTTCCGGCCTTTTAGCTTGACGTAAGGACACAGTAACCTTCTCCTAACAGTCTTTTGCCACCCGTTAATCCGTATCCCATCTTGGTCCAGTGATGATGTCGACAAAATATTGAAGATGATAAGCGTAAACGCGTAGAAGACCTAGCTACAGAGGCATAAAAAACTGCAAGAGAATGGAATACGGGAGAACCATGTCGTACGATGAAGAGGCTTGCAAGGATTCATCTTAAATTAAATCGACCAGTCATAACAAAGTGTTAAGATTTTTTAATTTCTCTGTCCCTGTTCTTCACTTAACAACTCATTTTTGTGTGTGTATTGTCATATACTAATTACTAATATTCAACAAATAGTTGTATTTCTATCAGTTTCTACGTGCATGTTGTAACGTAGTTTGTCATGTATTACTCTAAAATATTTACACATACTTATAACATTTACTGTATTTATTACTGTAAATGATTCCTATCAACCCCTGTATTAAGTATTCTCAATTTTGTCAGATATTTGATTCTCTGTTTAAACACAACAGGTCCCTTATGTGTTTGCCTTTGGTTTTCTTTTTGCTAGTTTGCAAGCTATTATCAAGACTTGGCATAGGTACCAGCTATCACTCACACTATCAAATGTCACAATTATTCTTTGTGTTATTAGTGCAGGAAGTCTTTTTTTATTTCAGATTTACAGATGAGCTAAGCGCCACCGATACTTTATGACGTGAGGTTTGTAGCTAATTTATGTTTGTTCTTCAATAAAGAAGAGGTTTTCAGACAAATTGCTGTTTTGTGAACTTCAGTTTCACGAGTCTAACAATCTTGTGGTTAAATGGTTCGATAGATTTAGGAGAGAGGAAACCACTTAATGAGGATCAACAGGGACAGAACTGATTATTCTTTTGTACTTGTTGAATGCTCGATCTCGAATTCTAAATACAATATATTCGTTCGTGCTTGTGTCGTAATTCTTGATTCAATTGCGTTAATTCTGGGATTCTTAACTCGTATTATAATTCAAATTATTTTCAAATATTAGATATTCACAGGTCAACAATCATCAAGTGAACCACCTCGCAAACTTAAGTTTAGTTAAAATAACCTTACTGTTGACGGCTCGGGAAGATCAAACAGTAAAATTAAGTAAGAAAAGGTGGATCTCTAACCGACGTCGAATACTAAACGTTAAGATAAAGAAGACTGAAGAATATAAAACGTGAATAGGAAAGACTTGAGTGAGAGTTAAAATACGAGGTTGCGGAAAGAACAAAGAAAAAACAATATTTTTCAATAAAACACTTCTGAGAGATTTCCAGTATGTTATTTCCGTTACAGTGAGTATCAGACGTTTTAAACAGGGTATTCACCAAATGAAAAAAGATTCAGTAAATGCTCAGAGTAGAGATTTCTTGTGCCAAAATATGATATTGAGTAAAACCATTAATAATAATAACAATTATTATTATCTTCACTATAAAATGGAACTCGTATGAAAGACTGAACTGAAAAGTTATTGATGGGGAACTGATCACAGATGCACCACAAGTGAGGACTGGTGTTAAATAAGAATGTTAACTTCTTTCTATCTTCTTTTTTATTATTGTCGATTTGGTCATAAACACCTTCAGATATCAGGAAAAGCCAACGGTTTGGTAGCAAGCCTATTCATTGATAACTAAACTTCAAGTATGGTGTCGGGCTTGACAGGTATCGAAGAAAACCTTGAAATTAGTTTCACTCATTTCATCTGATCACAAACCAGCTAATTAAGATTTGTGACTTTTAGTAGAAACAGATGCCTTACAAAGACTATATTGTTCTCACATTAACAATGGATTCTCTCAAGTTGGCTATATCTTCGTCTGTCGTGAATTTGTAGTGGCTGTGCTTCGATAACTAATCACCCTCGTACCGTTACTATATAATCTCCAACGGTGTTTGAAATCAGAAGGTAAAAAGAAGCAGCTACTACAGTTTATTTAGCAGATATTTCGGACCACACAACAGAGACGCAAAACGAATGAGCAAGCGAGCTACGATTGTAGTAGTAGTAGTAGCAGTAGTGGTGGTAGTAGTAAGTGTAAATATATATATATATATATATATATATATATATATATATATAAGGAAATGGATGAGTCAACGAATGGATTAAGCAGTTAATAGTGAAGTTGGCAGGATGAATATATGCGTAGGCTGTAAACAAAGTTCGTTCACACATAGTTAATGCGAGTACAATAATAATAAAAGTACAACAAGCTTTTATAGTGAGGATGACATTGTCCGCTAAATAAGTTAGCAAAAGGGCTTAACGGAGCAAAATGAGAATAAACTCGATTGCACGTGAGTCACTATAAATTTATCATTGTTTATAAGAACTAAACTTAGCTATTACACCTAACCCCAACCCTATCCCATCGCTAACTTTAAACATAAACCTGATCCCTAACCACTAACTTTAAAAATCAGTGTAATGAAATATCAATCTATATTGTTTCCATTTAACTTGTTCTTATTCATATTATTTATGCGTTCTTGTTAATTTTTTCTCTATTGAAATAATATTATATGCGACTTAAAACCAACCCACTGATTTGTTTTATCATTAATGAATTTGAAGTCACTCAGTCTAAGTAGATTCGCACAATGATTATCATTAAGCGGTTGATCAGATTGTTTTGTGCTATCACGTTTTCAGTGGTTGTCTAACTTAGATCGGTTCATAATTTCAATGAATATATTCGTGTTATATATTAGCTATAAACCAGATTTCAACCATTTCAAAAAAGCTTATCGTCTTCTGGATAACTTCAGTCGTTATTTATTTGTTTTAAGTTTTCTGTTTCATTTTTTTATGTATCATTTCATGAAGTCTTATCAAAACACAAATGTTGATCATAAGCTTCCCTGTTTTACTCACATGATTTCAACATTCATATGTCCTAAGATCTCCTATTTTTTTAAAAATCCTTGTCGGTACAACCTAGTTTTTTAAAGTCGTATTTTAGGTATTTTTTCAAAACATGACCTATAAATCATAGTCAATATTTTGAATAAGGAATTCGAACTTGAGCGTTTTCTTCCATTCTTTTATTTCCTGAACAATTACGAACTTGAAATTGGATTTATCTCAACTCTTCTATTTGAAGAATGAGAATTTATTAGGTAACATCGTCTTAAGATGTGTGACAGATCTAAATACGCACATGAAATACATGGTAACTACATGTAAACTGAGGTGTAAATACGAAGGAACAATTGTAATTGACTGTTCTCCTCGTTACGGTTATTTTATACGTACCCTTATCTCCATAATTTCTTTATGATGAGCAAGCATTAGTCGTGAGTATTTTATTCGGTTTTGTGACAGTACAGATTCCTCACTATTCTTATTCTACTTTTTTTAAATAGTTAGGTTAGTCAAGCAGTAGGAGCGTGGATAATAGTTGAGTGTAATCAAATACCAAGTCTAAATGTTAAACAAAGTCTAACAGACTTCGCTGTTGCAAGTCAACTCTTGTTCGCCATTAACAGGTTAAACAGATATATAAAGACAGAATGGAAAAAATGCGCATACGCAGAAATGAAATGCAACGGGAAAAGTCCATTTGGATTTCAAGAAAAATTCACAGTTCAACGCATGTAAGGATATTTTCATAAATAATTTTCTCTTAATGAAAATATTTAAGTACACCTGTCGAAAATTTTGAAGATGCCTTTCTATACTATAAATTAAAGGCTTATATTTTGATACTCATAGGCCGGATAGGTATTGGCATATTGCATGTCAGGAGCTCGACCGTTGCTGCTTTCCTAGCGTGGTGGTTGAGTTTGCCTATCATGATGAGCTAGTTGAGCTATACTGGCTGAAGCACTCGTTCCTCAATGTCCTTCCATGCCAGACAGATCGGTTGAAGGGCGATAAGACTAAAAGCAGTGAACTAAAAGTCCAAGGGCGAGGTCGTACTGCAGACTGTACAGAGCTGTGGTGGCAGTAGAGTGCTTTTTTTCAGACAGCCAGCATAACAACGACGCTACCTTCCCATAACGGAAGGGTTGTGTTAAAAAAGGTCTACCCCAAGAATGCACACCTCGCTTTATCCCATGGATTTCCCTTTGCGTCAGCACGACTTCAGCAAGTACAGAGCTAACACACAAATTACTCACAACAAGGTCGTGTATGGCCGGCTTCGAGCAGTTACCTCTTGGGCACTGCGGTTTCAATCTTATGCCATTAAGACCAACTCTAACCCAGTTTCCTTTTCGGCTACCACCAGAACCCCCCACGAAGTGGGCAACCAGGAGGTAATAACCGCTCTCATACCCTCTAACAGCACTTAAGACCACTGTATTCACTTCCAGTTTTCCTCTTCAACTCATATCATCCTTCGTATCTCAAATATCGACTCTATACTTCCTCCTCAATAGTCACCATGGCCAACTATTCTAGTGCGCGAAATACTGTCCCAGGTCTACTGAAGCCTAACCCAGATTGTCAACTACATAACTTCGATAGGATTGATAACATAGAAAGTAGTCGCGTATATATTATTCGTTTTGGTAAGTATAGCCCATAATCTTTTCTAGTCTTTTCACTTTGCGTGGCGATTAGTTAAAAGCTTTTCATAAATGAATAATCGTATTTCAAATGAATCAAATTTCTAGAACTAGTACAGATAATCAAAACTTTGTTGTTATGATAACGTATCAAACTGAATGGTGTTTGAGTTTAATCTCTCCGGTAAATCTCAATACCAATATCGACACGGGAAAAACGTCAGATAACTCTTATCGTGCGCTAATTAAAAGAACAGTAATATTTTTTCTCGTAAAGTAAATTATATTGTTATGATCGTTTATTACGCATCAAGACTACTGTTTTCACTTTAATTGAATTTATTTCAGTTAAAGTATTCGATTACAGTACCGTTTCTGCTTCCATATTAGTTTGTCGTCGGTGTTTCAAAAAGGGCAGTGATTTTGTACTTGTTGTGATTATCCTTGCTTTTGTGCACTTATTGTATCCAAAGCATTCTTGGTCTAAATCAAAGTACTTTAGTTAAGGTTTAAAATCTTGCTAAAGTTTGTCTTGTAGTACCCTTTTACTCGTTGACTGACACTGTGTTCATACTGTGTTCATATTGTGTTTTACACCTTAATCTAACTAGAATGGTTGGTAGTACTTACAAATGTGGACAACCAAACTGTTTGTTCCCTGTGGAGGAAGGAATGCAGTGTGGTGGATGCAAAACGTGGTTCCATAAGATGTGCACTCGTTTAACTCCCGCTCCATACAAAAGATGTTGGAAGCCTAACTCACATTGGCTCTGCATGTTTTGCTGAGCAAACAGGACGTTACTAATACAGGAGGCTATGAGCCTATTGGCTTTGGCCTGTAAGAAGAACGATGGCGCATGCGCTGATAACACGAGCACTGACAGTGACGAATGTGTCGGTGTAGTACATGTTGTTACGAGACGCCTTAAACAACCAACTTTGACTGACGAAAAAGTGTAATCTCCATTAAAATTAACGAGGGGGTAGTACCACCTGACACGGAAATTGGTAACCATGCACCCCTAGCGGAGAATGAAGATCTGGATAAAACCGTCACTGTTACAAATTGTCCCAGTGTCCTGGGGGATGAAAAATGAACTACAGTACGGAGAAAACGAAACGAAAAGAAAAAAGCTGTAGGCGGTACGCAGGTGCCTAGCAAGTCACTGGTGGACTCCCATTGTGAGTCACCAAACGCACTACCAAAATCTGATAGTAAGAGAGAAACCCACCCTGGCGTAACTGTGAAAAAGAATCTAATCTCATCGAATATTATTGTGAGCAAATTGATGGAGTCAAACGACCCAGATCCCCAAGTCATACATGCGCATGATTTAGAGTAGCTGGGAGAATATATTCGTAGTATCTTACCAGATGACTAAAGGAGTTCATGTCAAAAAACTGGTTAGAATAGGCAAGAGGACTGAGGAAAATGTTGAACCCCGACCATGTAGACTCCTTAAGGCAATCCTAGAATCGGAGAAGCAGCGGTATCTCCTGTTAAGTAGCGCTCGTTGTCACGACAATTCCGATATACGGGTTAGACCTGATATGTCTCTCAAAGATAGAATAAAAGAGAAGAAAGCATTAGCTGAACTAGAAACGCGTCGACAAAACGGGGAGGAAAATCTCCGGCTAGTGGGTTTTCGAATACTCAGGTGTTGGAAGCGAATGCTACGAAGGCCTGTATGGATAGGCCGTTCTACTTAGGAGTTTTATATGCCAATGCTCGTAGTCTAGGAAATAAGTTCTATGAACAAGAAGCATTAGTGGGTGGATTAAAGCCACTCATCGTAGCAGTGACAGAAACTTGGTTAGTCCATGACTCAGACATTACACCAGAATTATCCGGATACCATTACATCAGGAGTGATAGACATAGATGTAGAAAAGGAGGTGGCGTCTTGTTATATATAGTCAATAATATAAATATCCGCTCGTCTGCTAGCAAATCCCATAGTAGCGGTACGTGTGAAATCGTTAGCTGTAAATTGGTTATCGGAAGTAGTACATTTATACTCGGTGTCATCTATCGCAGCCCGATCTGCTTAGCTGATGACTTCATTTTAGAGCACATTGATCTTTGGAGTGCAAATAACAGATGCTTGATAGTAGGGGAACTCCGCCTGTAGCTCTTCTAGAGTTACTGCCGGTCAAATGTCCGGGTAAAGGAGGAGGGTTAGACATGTGGTTAGCGGCTCCATCATCTATGAAGTGCAAATACCAGATGCTTGAAGATAGGAGACTTTAATGCACTTGATATTAGTTGGACTGAGATGACCACGGAAGGATATATAAACCCCTTTGATAGTAGGTTCCTGGTAACAATAATGGAGCAGGCACTAGTGCAGCATGTATCCAAACCCACACGTTTTGGTTTTAACCAGGGTTCTTCTCTGTTGGACTTGGTAATCACTCATGATACTCAGGATATTGTCGACCTAAATATTCTCTCGCCATTAGTGAACAGCGATCACGCTGTTTTGTCATTCATGTTTAGAACTAAGGACATATTATACGATCAGGTTACAACCCTCACAAATGTATGGAAAGCTAACACATCAGCCATTCAGGAATGCGCTGCTAAGACAGATTGGTTTGTAGATACTAGCTTATCAATTGAAGAAGCATGATCTGTATTTAAAGGTAAGTTTAGTTTAGTTACGTCCTCGATCATACCATACCTGGTACCGCGAAGACCGAATAACAGTCCACCATGGATAACTAAAACGGTCAGGAAACTCCTTAGAAAAAGGAAGAAGCACTGGAAAATGTTCATCTCTACTGGCTTAGAACAATACATATCCAGTTATTGTAAGATTAGGAATGCCTGTAAGGCGTTAATAAGTAAGACTAGACGATCATATGAAAAACAATTGGTTAGGGATTCTAGATATACTCCGAAATGGTTATTCTCGTATTTAAAAGGGCAAACTCAGAGAAGCGATGGAATTCCATCACTTTTAGTACAAGAAAATCCATTAAACTTGGCAGACAATGATAACGAAAAAGCTGAAGCTTTATCGGAATATTTCAGTAAAGTGTTTTCTATCGGTAATGAAGAACGATCAACGATTCATTGTGACCGTGACGGCTCGCTGATGGATCCTGTAGTCATTGAGAAAGGTACTGTTTTAAAGCTACTTCAGCATCTCAAACTTGATAAGTCCAGTGGTCCTGATGATATTCATGCTAGGATTATGAAAGCCCTATCAGATGTACTTGCTGAACCATTAGCGATACTATTTGGCATGTCTCTAAGGCAGTCTAGACTGTCCAGAGACTGGAAAGACGCCATAATAAGTCCGGGGTATAAGGCTGGGAGTAGGGATTTAGTTAGTAACTATAGGCCCGTTAGCTTAACTAGTGCAGTTGTAAAACTGATGGAAAAATTCATTCGAATATCTGTTATAAACTATGTTGAAGGTCATAATTTTTTCTCCAGAGAAAAACATGGTTTTCGGAGAGGCCTATCATGCTTGACAAATCTCATTGCAAGAGAAGATTGAGCTGCTGCAAAAGATCAGAATATTCCTGTGGATGTGATCTTCATAGATCTAAGTAAGGCCTTCGATAAAGTCTCTCATTCTGGTCTTAAATTCAAACTGGAACGTTTGGAATCCATTATACAGTCATAGATTGGATAAGTAATTTTCTGCATGACAGGAGACAAAGGGTAAGGGTTAATGGGGATCTTCCTCGTGGGTACCTGTAAAAAGTGGAGTTCCTCAAGATACAATCCTCGGTTCTTTTCTCTTTTCACTTTATGTACATGAATCGCTAACTGTAGCAACATCACCCGTTCTACTCTTCACTGGTAACATAAAAATTTGGAGACCCATACACATTATGTCGGATGGAATAGTATTACAGGATGATCTTAGCTCATTGGTAACATGGTTGGACAGGTGGTCACTGGAAGTAAATCCTAATAAGAGTGTGGTGGTGCAAGTAAATAACTATGATGATTCGTATCGCTACACAATATGTGGATTTGTGCTACCCAAAGTAAGAAGCCATAAGGATTTTGGAGTTATATTAAGCAGTGATCTCAAAACCACTGGTCACTGCAAGGCTGCTGCTGCAAAAGGCTATAGGGTATTATGGTCAATTCGTAGGTCTTTTCAGTATTTAGATGATGAAATGTTTAGACTATTATACCCAATTTATGTGCGACCACATTTAGAATATGGGATCCAATCAGCGAGTTATTGTTTCAAGTATGAAGCAGAGATGCTGAAAAGAGTCCGGCGACGAGGTACTAAGATGATACAAGGTCTGTCTGGCCTATCTTATGAAGACAGACTGAGACACCTCAACTTATTTCCGTTATCTTACCGTAGAGCACGGGGTGATCTAACATTGGCTTATCGTATACTGAACGATGACCTTGGTATTACCATGTCTTATCTTTTACTTCATCCAGGACTGATCATTTGAGATAACATTCGAAGATAGTTGAAGAACCGAGATCAAATCGTTTACATCTGGAGTTTCGTTTCTAGCACCGAGTAGTGAATTACTAGGATTCTCTACCAGCACCGTCTGTTAATATATTCAAAACGAGATTGAACCTTTAAAGTGTTACAAACCGCAAGGATTAATATAGGTCGATAGACCTCTTATCCTTATTACTGAAGATTGAAGACAGAACTACCCGCCGTTTCGTTTCAACGCACTTAAACGGCGGTCATTCTGTCCTTCAATTGCGGTAGGTTGCATGAGTATTAAGTTTTTCCATTTTTAAGTCATCTTTTGCTGTATTATAAAGTACAAAATAACTACCAAAAGCATTAATTTAGCATTATTTGTTTTGTAGTGTACACGTTGGCTCTGTTGTTGTTTCGTAAGTTGGTCTGTGATCCCAACTGCTGTAGTAAACGTCAACGAAATGTCAAGTCACCGGTAGGTCTTAAATATTTGTAGTACTTCGTTGGGTTATTATTGTTTCAAGGAATAGCTTTCATTATTAATGGTTTCCGTTTGTAGTGCTTCATATTCAAGTGACATTTCAGTCGACTTAAGCGATGCTTTTCAACGTATTATACTGAACAAGCGTTTCGCAACCTGGGATGACTTTGATAGCGCTCTAAAAGAGTTCCAAAAAGTATGGAGCAATAATCTTATCCCTTTTCAGACTACCCATACTCATTATGTCCACACAGAGAGCAGATTGCTCAGGGATGTCAGGTTCAAATACCTTTTTGTGACATTTCACTGTACATTCGGTCATAAGCGTAAATCACAATGTCTGACAATGAATCAAAAACCGTGAGAACCTTAACTAATATGTGACATTCAAGGTCTAAGTTTCTTAACTGTCAATCGAGGTTCCGCATAAGATTGGAAGCGGAAGGATATGTTATAAAATCATACAATATGTTGCACAATCACCCTTGTAGTAGTTCGTGGATGGTTTTTGACCCATGGGCCAGAAGGTTGTCGTTCGAAGAAAAAGAAAATTTGAAGCCGGTCATATTGCAGTCTCAATCAACAGATGCAGTAATAGAAATTATCAAACATAGGACTGGTAAGCAGGTCACTGCTGCCGATGTGAAGAGTATGAAAGCTAAACTCTCCACAGGTAAGTGTATAGAAGTGTATTTCAGGTCGTATGACGCGAAAGCGAACTAAAAAAGATGTTTCGTTTAGGTGGAATATGAAAATGCTGACTGGTTGTTCATGGTGGACTGTGGAAAGCATTACGAGGTGGATATAAGCACTTGTGAGTGCATCTAGAATATTTCTTATGTGCCAATATCCTTGTCGCCATACACTACTGGCTTATGTTAAATGACGAACTATTACAGATATGCTTAATCAAATATGAAATATAAACTGTATAGCTCATCAAATTATTAGACATTGCAGTAGATGAAAGTTAGATAATACCCAGAATTTACGAAATAACACAACACTTTCATTACCGAGACGGAGTGGTGAGTATATAAGCATTCCATGATGCCAAAGACTTTACAGACAACACAATTAAAAAATATGGTGAACGCTTCGCGATGGAAGTTGAGAAAAACTTCAACAATTATTTTTTAAAAATTATCAATAACAACTTGTAAACTCATTTTTTGATTCAGTATTAATGATTATTTAATAAGCTTGTGTATAATTTTCATTTCCCTCTTCTTCCTACTTTCATGGGGAGGTAGTGTTAACGAGTAACTGTCTGTGAGAATTAAGAACTTGAACTACTGCACCAGTTCTGAAGTTTCGTTAGAACGTAGCGTTATATCATTGTTGATTGTGATGAGACGATGAATCACTTTACACAGTGAGTGATGCGACTTCTACGTAAAACCTTACAGATTAGGTAACCGCATGACATATTTCCCGTCGTCGGATTAGGTCTATTATCAAATTAGTATTAGTACCGGACTAGACAATAATTTCATGCAGTTGGTTCCCTGATAAGATGGGTTACGTAATAATTGGAAAACAATCGTGTTATATTCCTCTCCCATTACCGAGTTTTTAAACCACCCTTTCACTCACACTTCTCACTTGGTCCTCTTAAATTATGTGAACTCTTCGAATTCTTTTCAATTATCATATCAGTTTTTAATTTCATGAATCCTTCATTACCTCTAAAATTATTACACAATTGATCTTATGTGTCTGAACTCCATTCGACTATTACACCAGTCGTCCTTGATGTTTCCTTAATTCTAACACCAAATAACCTTTAACCTGCTCTTGCATATATATATATATATATTGTTACTAATAACCGAAGTCATTTCAATTCTTCACATTCTCTTATGTCAATTACTTCATACTATTTCTTACTTACGCCTGTTGCTCCTCGTGAAGGAACATAGGCCGCTCACAAGCATTCGCCATCCAACCCTGTCCTGGGCAATCCTTTTCCAGCTCCTTCCAGTTGTTATTCATCCTTTCCATATCTGCTTTTATTTCCCGACGTAATGTGTTCTTTGGCCTTCCTATTTTCCGCCTTCCTTCAAGATTCCAAGTTAGGGCTTGTCTCGTGATGCAGTTCGACGGTTTGCGTAGTGTATGTCCTATCCATTTCCATCGTCTTTTCCTAATTTCCTCCTCAGCTGGAAGCTGGTTTGTTCTCTCCCACAGTAGGCTGTTGCTGATGGTATCCGGCCAATGGATGTTGAGTATCTTGTGTTGACAGCTATTTATAAATACTTGTACTTTCTTGATTGTGGTTGTAGTTCTCCAAGTTTCAGCTCCGTACAGTAGAACTGACTGTCTTGACGTTCGTATTGAAGATTCTGATTTTGATATTGGTTAAAAGTTGTTTTGAGTCCCATATGTTCAACTGTAGGAATACTGTCCTTGATTTGCCGATTCTCTCCTTTACGTCTGAATCTGAACCTCATTGTTAATCGATTTTGCTTCCCAGGTATGTGAAGGATTCTACATCTTCCAGAGTTTCGCCATCAAGGGTGATTGGATTGCTGTTCTCCGCTTGGAATTTGCGGACCTTGGTTTTCCCCTTGTGTATGCTGGGGCCTACTGATGCAGAGACTGCTGCTACACTGGCTGTCTTTATCTGCATTTGTTCATGTGTATGCGATAGGAGGGCCAGGTCATCTGCGAAGTCCAAATCGCCTAATTGATTCTGAGCTGTCCATTGTATTCCGTGTTTCCCCTCAGATGTCGAGGTCTTCATAATCCAGTCGACCACGAGAAGAAAGAGGAAGGGAGAGAGTAGACAGCCTTGTCTGACTCCGGTCCTTACTTGGAATGCATCTGTCAGCTGTCCTCCATGCACGACTTTGCATTGTAGTCCGTTGTATGAGTTCCGGATAATATTGACAATCTTCTCAGGAACTCCGTAGTGTCGAAGAAGTTTCCATAATCTCCTATCCACATTGTCAAATGCCTTTTCATAATCAATGAAGTTGATGTACAGTGACGAGTTCCACTCAACTGATTGTTCGACGATGATCCGTAGTGTTGCAATTTGGTCTGTGCACGACCGATCCTTACGGAATCCAGCTTATTGACCTCGAAGTGGAGCGTCTACTGCGTCTTTCATCCGGTTTAGCAACACTCTGTTGAAGACTTTCCCCGGTACTGACAGTAGTGTTATGCCTCTGTAGTTTTCACATTTGCTCAGATCTCCTTTCTTTGGAATCTTGACGAGGTGTCCTTCTTTCCAGTCCATCGGCACTTGTTTCTCCTCCCAAATCTTTTTGAATAGAAGGTGAAGCATGTTTGTAGTTGCTTCGATGTCTGACTTCAGTGCTTCAGCTGGTATATTGTCGGGTCCTGCTGCTTTCCCGTTCTTGATTTGTCTGACGGCCATTCTAATTTCTTCCGTTGTTGGTGGGTTGACATCTATAGGAAGATCTATGTGTGCTGCTTCGATGTCCGGTGGATTCATTGGAGCCGGCCTATTCAGGAGTTCCTCGAAGTATTCTACCCATCTGTTACGCTGTTGTTGAATTTCGGTGATTGGCTTGCCTTCTTTGTCTTTGACCGGCCTCTCTGGTTTACTGTATTTCCCTGATAGTTTCTTCGTTGTATCGTAAAGCTGTTTCATATTTCCTTCCCTTGCAGCCTTTTCCGCCGTCGTTGCTAGTTCTTCCACGTATTTCTTCTTTTCGGCTTTAATGCTCTTCACTTGCTTGTTTGCTTCAATATACTCAGCTTGTGCTTGGACTTTCTTTCCTAGTGTTTGGTTGTTGTTAATTGCTGTCTTCTTGTTCTTCCTTTCTTTGGTCCTGTCCAGTATTTCTATAGAGTCCCATTCCTTATGATGATGCTCCTTTAGACCGAGAACCTCTTGACACGTTGAAGTTAATGCTTATTTGATACCTTTCCAGTTGCCCTCCATAGTAGTTTCTTCTTCCTTCAGTAGATCCTGTAAGACTTGGAACCTGTTGTTGAGAGCTATCTTGAATTCATTGAGTTTGTCAGTATCTCGAAGGAAGGCTGTATTGAACCTTTGTAGTGCTGTTTGTCCAGTTGTCCAGTTCTTCTTTAGCTTCAGTTTTAAATTTGACACAACAAGGTGGTGATCTGAAGCTATGTCAAATCCTTTCTTCGTTCTCACATCTTCCATTGTCCTTCGCAACTTTTTATTGATGCAAATATGATCTATCTGGTTCTCCGTGGTGTGGTCCGGTGAGATCTATGTAGCTTTGTGTATACGTTTGTATGGAAATATTGTGCCTCCTATAATTAATTTGTTGAATGCACAGATTTGCAAATCTTTCTCCATTTTCGTTTCTCTCTCCCAGTCAATCCATATCGTCCCATGATATCTTCATATCCGGTGTTGTCTATTCCAACTTTGGCGTTTACATCTCCCATCAGGATGGTGAGGTCCTTTCTTGGGCACTTCTCTATGATTGACTGCAGCCGCTCGTAGAATTGATCTTAAATGTCGTCGTTGCTATCATTGGTGGGTGCATAACATTGGATAATATTCATCAAGATCCCCTTCTTTGTTTTGAATGATGCTTTGGTGATTCTTGATCCGTGAGATTCACATCCTACAAGTGCATTTCGTGCTACTCTGGACAGCATTAGAGCAACTCCCTGAGTGTGCGGAGCATTTTCCTCTCCTCCTCCCGAACGAAGCTGCTACCTTGACGCGGTGGTCGGGCTTGCCTATCGTGATGACCCAACCGAGCTATATTGGCTGGAACATATGTTCCTTTAGGTTCTACCATGCCAGACAGGTCGATTGGAGAACGGTAAGACTAAAAGCAGCAACTCAAGGTCTGAAGGCGAAGTCGTACTGCTGACTGTAGAGGGGTGTGACAGCAGTAAGGTGTTTCCCTCGGACAACCAGCATCTGCAGCGATGCTGCCTTCCCACAAAGAGGGGTAGGGTTAGAAAAGGTCGACCCTAAAAATGTCACACCTTACCTTACCTCACGGATTACCGTCTCTGGCGGTAAGGCCCTT